CCCCAAAACCCCAAAACCCCAAAACCCCAAAACCCCAAAACCCCGAATTTTTATTAAAACATTGAAATAAGTTAGTTAAAGCGCTTCTAAAAAGTCAGCAATTTCTAAAATATGAGGCCTATCTACATGCTCATATGCAACACATTTTTTCACGAGGTATGAGATTCTTGGGGGTATATCATCATTCCATTGGATATCCTTTTCCTGTATCTGCCTAAGGTAATCTTCTAATCAAGAAGCCTCAAATGCTGGCTCTCCAGTGTAAAGTTCATACATGAGACATCCGAAGCTATTGGTGAAGTAAACCCATACCTAAAAACATCACTGAAGGTGCTAATCTGGTTAGAGAATCATTCTGGAGCTACGTAATTACTGTATGGATCGTCTGTATAAATTTAATATTTCTCAGTTACCTTTAATCCATTTATCTATCTCAGAATTTCCTCCATTTAAGAACTGTCCTACTGCACCAATCTTGATATCAAGCGTATCTTCTACCTAGAGATTCAGGCCATATCTTACGAAGATTGTAATTGGGTTAATATGTCCGTGAATAATTGGATCATCATAGAACAAATGAAGATATAGTAATGAGAGTACCAGCTGTTTTATAATAAACAGCCTATCAGAATCAGTCAGCATATATCTCTCTATAAAATAACTTGTTGGGCCTACTTCTGATATGCTTTTGGAGTACCATTTGAGATCAATTATGGTACAGGATGTACAGCTTTCCTTTCTCAAGGCTTACTGCCAGGATATCCATGAAACTGTCATGCTCCTTAGCGTATTTTAAGTTCAAAGTTTTTAGCTCTAAGAGTTTATGGAATTTCTAACCTGAAATAATTGAGAGGAGCTGCCTGATTGTTGTGTATTTCTCAAGAATTTCTCTGACTATTTGGAAGATTAGCTGATAGTCTTACCAACTATAGGCTCACCCTTGTATCTACCCTGTAAAACTGTGAATGATGGATTAATGTCTATTATTGACTCCTTTAGTGTTTCGAATCGATCCCTCTTAAGAATTTTGATGTAGTCAAGATCAGTGTAGAATTCTCGAGTAAATGGGGACAAAATTCCGAGATTTTCTCAGGCGACAGAAGGGGATATAAGGGCATCTTCATCTGCAAAAAGGGATATTCCTGTACGAACCAATTCACTTCTGAATTCTTTCTTAATGCTTTTATTTTAAAAACAAATAACATTGATCCTTAGCTTTTCTTTTCAAAAATGAAATTTCGATAGGGCTTTTATTAAACTACAAGAATAAGATAATATTTACAAAATTCTTTGCTGAAAGGTTAATATTTTTGAGGGCTGATACTTTCTTTAATGCATCTGGAAGTCCCCAATATCATCAGAAATGAACAAAGCCATTTCCTGTCTAAAGATCATAACTTGACTTTACCTCTTCATCGGTATAATACAAAGATCTGCTCTCTGAGGAAAGGAACTTGACTCTTTTGATTTTCTTTTTATTTTCTCTCAATCATCAGAATTGGACTAGTGTCCTCTAAGGGGTAATCTCAGAAGAGCTTACTGATATTCACTCCTTCCAAGTCAACATTTCCTTCTATCATTTTGTTTTCTTCTATGTTGACTACCTTTTCCTTCTGCAGGTTCATCGTGTAGAATTCTATTACTCTATAGACCGAGTTAAGTAATTAGAAGAGAAATATTTGACAATTTTCAGAATTCTTATAAAACATGGGTCGAATTTGGAAATGGTTGTATTATCTTGGTGGATTACCTATTCTTTGCTATCGAAAAGGCAATGCTAAATCCAATTGTGTCATCTTCCATATTTTCAATCCTTCAATCAATAGGCGCATCTCCTTTAGTGATCTTGTCGAAGAGGTCGCCATCGTAGTCTTGAAGTCCTTTGAGTTTCTCTAAGAATGATTTGTCCATAGTTTTTAAAAATATAATTTTATTGGGGTTTTGGGGTTTTGGGGTTTTGGGGTTTTGGGGTTTTGGGGTTTTGGGG